TTTTGGTTTTTCTCTTTCGACAATGTGTCTAGTCAAGCTCCATTTAATTGGAGTCCCAGGGTCTTAGAGTGAACTAATTTTGGTCAGAGAACTAGGCTATCTAGCCACAGTCTAAGCTTATAGCATGGTAAATTCTAGTATTAGCACTTTCTTGGCAAAATTTGATATTATAATCAAAGTTGGTTGAGGCCTTCAAGCTTCTTACACATGTTGTCATGATATCTTCAATGAATACCTAAATCTAGAACAAAGTCTCATGAAATTTGTAAATTTTTTAATGTTAGTTTTTGGTTGAAATAGTTCGATACCTGGTAGTGTCAAATTTGTCTTTTTCCAATGCAATAAATCATAAAGAAATCAAATTGATTATTACTAAAGTAAATATAAAGTTAATAGAAAAATTATATATTTTGAGGATGAATTAAGGGGTCTCAGTAGAGCTGTCATTGTCATGCTTCGCGTGCTGTATAATTAGGTGCATAAGGACTGTCTATGTTTGATGATTGATTTGTCCATGTGAGATAGGCCATGATAATTAGGTATAGAATTTAATAACTGCTCTAAGAATATTGTCAAAGTGTTTGAAGATAGCTTTTGGATAAACATCAAGTATATATCTACTTAGAATTGTTTTCTTACATGTATTTTATGACAAATAAAAATATGATAGATTAAATTGATTTTCATCATGTTAACTTGCGTACCCTGTTGTATGGCCACTTTGTTTGCTGCACTTACTTTAATAATAAAAATATAAAATAGAGCTCCGTTGCACATAGAGAATGCATCACGATTGCGACCAAAATAATCAAGATACACATAAACGAAACATCTGATCCCATTGGTTTAAAGTATAGTTGACATCTTAATCAGCATTGTTTCTACCATTGCACTATTGCTTTATATATATGTGAACAAATGCAAGAAAGGATATGTTTCGCTGCTAATTGATTAGTTTCAAATGTAAGAAATGATTAGTTTCTAATGTTATATTTTTATGGTTCAAAATGTCTATAGATGTCGCAGTTGACCACTCGTCGTCGGAATGTGACCAATGTGCCTCCCGCATTATCAGCATCTACTGCTCCAGGCACAAGTGCTCCATTGATTGGGGAGCCTAAACCCCTTACTGAGGCTACTCCTACGGCGTCCCAGGTGCCCACATCATCGACGTCATCAATGTCGGTTCAACCGCTCAAAGCATGGTGACCTCACTGGCTCAGCCGCGATCCAGAGCCTTCTGATCACACTTCCTCAGCACCCAGAGTCGAGGGTGGGGGCTCCCAGCCAGGTAGTTTTTTCTAATTCTCACCACGTTGTTTTTTTTTTTTTTTTTTCATTTTAAAACTATTATTTTTATGATTGTGAAAATTTGTTGGATTATGAAAATGTGTTGCAGGTTGTGAATTACTGTTATTTAACTGTTTTAAGATTTTGGGAAATGATATACTATTAAGGGAGGTTTTACCGAATTTTTTGTAGAAATTTAAGCTTAGGGTTTTCACCATTTAAGTTTTTTTGGGCAGCTCAAAAAAACACCAGGGGGCCCAATCTAATGCTGAAGTCGGCACAGAACGTACGTCTGTCTGCCACCTTGATCAAGATTGCAGTATGACTCACGACATTGTGGAGTGGCTACCTCACAACAGCATAGCAGCGTCGTTACTAGCAGTGGTTATGTTATTCGGTGGTGTTGTCATGTGCAGTGGGTCTTGGGTAAAAATTCCCAAGGAGACGAATAAACTTGTGTAAGACAAGTTTTCGGTTAGTATATTAATTTTTAGCCTTTATCAAATTTTTAATTTTGTTTACAAATATTATAAACCAAAGTATATTATCTTAATATTATTAAATTTCTTACTATTATTTTATTGTTTTTCATATTTGTAGGTCAATTATTATCTTCAGGACATATCCCCCGAGGCCATCGCCTACTTAGAGGAGACCTTAGCAACCTGGTACAATCATTGGAAGACTGATCTTCACGCGCATTTTAAGCTATGGGATGATCTGGAGATTGCTTGTCTAGAGGGTTGCCCAACCAAGTTGGTGGACCGGCCGGAGAATTGGAAGTGGCTCTGCAAACATTTTACGAACCCAAAATTTGTGGTATGTACACAATATTTTAATAATAATTTATTAAGATTTTAGTTATTTTTTTAAGCTTTTTTTAATAATTTCTTTCAAATAGTTGCACTAACATGTATATTGTGTGTTTAACAAAAGAAATTTGTTGTTGGCAAGAAAGTTCAGGAACACTTCTCCACCATTTCTGTTCGATGCCCTTTTTGTATATGGTTGAGGCGCAACATTAGGTAAAAGTATATTAATTTTGAAATTTTATACAATTTATTTTTTATTATTGATTAATAAATTTTTCTTAATGTTTTTTTCTTTAGGAGGGTTCTAAGTTCTCAGAGATTGACATGTTCAAGGAAAGTTTACGTTCGACCCGACGATGAGATCACTGAGCAGCTTCATGTAAGTATATGTAATTGTTAATATTCTTATATTTATGAATCGTTCAAATATTAATTATATTTTGTTATTAAACATTACATGTTTTTTCTTTATTATTATGGGATGCTATGGTGGAAAAGCGCACTATTATTCTCCAGGAATCAGCATCGCAGCTTCCTCCGAAGATCCCGATCGAGGACGTCATTGTACCCAAGGATGCAGGTCTTCAGATCTTGATTGAGGTCTTGGATCAAAAGTTCGATCGTCGTCATGGCAAGATTGTTTGGTGTATGAGGAAGGCACGGGTTCATGAGACGGGTGCCTCTTCTTCTAGATCGGCCACAAGACAAGTCATCGACTTGAAGAAGGAAGTGGCAACCCTAAAAGGTCAGCTTATGGGCCAGGGCAAGCAGATGAGTATGATTGTACAGGCCTTACATATGTCCGGCCTCCAAATCCTGATGCTAGCACCTGATACTGCTCCACCTTCGACCTCCTAACCACTTCACCTAGCCAATACCTAGTAGCCTGATATATCAAACTTAGAAGACTACTTGTTGTAGTTTTTTCTTTTATATTCGGACATCTTGTATGTACATTTTCATATTTTTTATAATTAAATACTTTTTCTTGGTTTATTAATTATTGTTTATAATTTAATTACAATGTTTATAAAAAAAATTAAATAAAAAATATTTTTGCAAAAAAAAAAAAAAAAACAAACAAATAAGGGCTTGTGCAACGAAGAAGTAACCTGCGTCGCGCAAAGAGCTTTTGTGCGACAACAGAACCTGTGTTGCGCAACGTAGGTTACTTCTTTGTCACGCAAACCTCCTTTGCGTGACGCATGTTCTTCCGTCTCACAAAGGAGGTTTGTTGACGGAAGTAACCTGCGTGGCGCAAAGACATTTTGCGCGACGTAGGTGCTCTCTTCGTTGCACAAACCCTACTTTCACTGTCTTTGCGTGACGGTTGGTGTGTGACGCAAGTTTCATTGGGCTAATTTTCAGGCAACGTTTTATGACGTTGCACGACGAAAATACCTACATCGCGCAAACTATTTTTTTGTACTAATGGAAGGAGACACGACTGAGTTAATTGGTATAATATGGGATGGACAGCAACTAGCAACGACATTTCCACATGGTTTCCACACCAACACCTTACAATCTATAAAATCCATCTCTTTCCGGACTTTCTGGTCGTTGGAGTCTGGCTCTATGATGGGAGGACTTTTGCGTTAGTGTTTCAAATCAATCAAGCAATTACATATAAAAAGAATTAAAAATACATCACAACACGTATTAACTTTATATATCACCGCAGTCACGTTCATTATTGACGTAATCTCTAGATAGGCCAATTTTCCAATGCTCTGAGCTTATATTTGTTTTGTACACTATTCGTAAAATAACTCCGCTTAAAGCCGTCTAAGCCCCGTGTAGACGCTAGCAGGTTGAAAATCGCCTTAATTAATCCCTCGAGCCTAGGCGCTAGGTTGTTGAAGACCGTCCCCGATTAATCCCTAGGAGTTTGAAAATTAAGAAATAGCACCTAAACATGCTTCGGCACCTTGCCTAGGCCACGACTCTTACTTAGATAAAAAATACGTAATTTTTGTTTTGCATTTTATTTTTTTCAATAAATTGTAAAAGACTTGTTGAATACTTAGAAAAAACACACATGATATGCTTGTTCCCCATGTTTTTATTATGTTCTATACTTTATAATCTATATGTCATTCTATTTTGCAATTTATGTATTCCAATGTATTTTTGAAGTATAAGCAAACACAAACACTTATTTATACGATATATAATAAATTTACTTAAATCCGTCTAGGCTCCCACCTATACGCTAAGCCTCAGCCCGCCGTCTAACTAGCGCTCAGTGTCTTTTAGAACCTTAGTTTTGTAGCAGTCAAAACCGTTTTCGTATACAGTTGATTGCCCTTAAAAGTTTATAGTGTTGTTCGACAACAAAGCAAATCTTGAAACCTTGCATCTAACTAATGTAGCACTGCGGTTTTGACAGACGACCTGGGAAGTAAGGAGGATAGATTGCGATCCCTTACCCACATCGCTTTTTCCTATTTGGTACATTTGGAAGGCCAGGTGCAATGCTAACAAGCAACTGTCGCCCACCCAAACTCTTCATGCTAGCACTGGTGCCACTTCGGCTTATTGGGATCTTACAACTTACGAGGGTAAAAACCGCAAGGCGTGTCCCTGGACAGCAGGACATTCTGTCGCACATCCCATGGACTCCTCCTCCTCCTCCCCACACTCTGTCGCACATTCCTCGCCCTCTGAGCTAGACCTAGTTTTGGAAGTCTGTAAGGGGACGACGTTTCGGTTTCTTATGCCACGTCTCTCGGAGTTTTCCCTTATTCTTTGGTTACCTATGCTTTGCTGGTTATCCTGTTCATGGCTTTGTCTACTCCTCTTGGCTTCGGCCGTGGTTATGAGCATATCGAGTCTTTCCTAAAAAAAAGAAGAAAAAAAGAAGAAAAAACTAATATTTCGTTATTCAAAAGCAGATACTCTGAAACTAATTTTCTAATTATTTACTTTAAGCCAACTAATATCATAAAGAACAGAGAATCTCTTGAAAAGGATTATCAAGACAATCCTACCAGGAAAAAGAAAAAATTAGGAATTGAAAGACATGGCGAGTAGCAGATATATACATTGCGCGGAATAAGACCATATAGATCCTTGACTTTGCCTGCCTGTCTTGTCTTCAATTCACTTTCTTGTTCCGATGGCATAGGCTTAGGCTGCTTCAACTTCACTTTTGCCTCTTTACCTAAACAGCAGGCCAAATAAATAGTAGATAATTTGGCTCCTTGTCTGCAACACATTCAACCTAAATAAGAGTATGATCAACAAAAACAGAAATAAATTTTTTACCGGCTAAGTTAAACAGGCGAGAATCTAAAAAAAAATAAATAAACTATCCATTGCAAGAATCATCATTTGCATTTGATTTTGACTGTGGAAGTGAGACGTATATTTAGTTATATACCACGGTTAAAGGCAGAAAGTGACCTCCCAGCCAGAGCCAATTCATCTGTCAACGCGGAGAATGTTGTTACATATGGTACCCCTGGTAACCGACTCTCTTTGAGGATCAATCTTCCATTGGCCATCAACAATGAATTTTATCTGCAGTTAATATCACATTTTAGATACAGTTGAGGTTCACACTGAACGAAAAAACGGTTCATAACGTTTAGCTGCTAGATGTGCACACCTCATATGTCCCTGGATAAAGCCACAGCATTGTTGACCAAAGTTTGGGTTTCCTGCACAAAAATGTAGTCCTGATGATCAGTAAGCTAATTACTCAACTAATATTTTGAGCATCAAGATATAAAAAACTTAAATGAAGAAATAGCACAACGATAAAAGGGAAGATTAACAATAACCGACAATAATGTCAACTGAATATGATGAATCTTCACTCTTTAGGAAAGATAATATGCAAATTAGGCAGAACCGAAGTAACAAGATACAATAAAAGTTTAAAGCCCAATTATACAGAGAAAGAGAGTGTTCAGACCTCAAGGGTTCTATGATACTAGATGATGACTCCAGATCCATTTTAATCTGATGATGCCAACCATTGAAGCTACCAGTCACCTCCACAATCTCGCCATCACCCTCGTACTGGATCTCAACCTGATGAGGTCAGGAAATTCTGGTCATCAGGTGTAACATACTTTTAATTTTAACTACAACCAACAATCTTATCAGTAGTTTCAGTCTCACTCTCTCACTCACTCTCTCTCTATTTCTTTTCTACCCGTCACAACCAAAGATCTGTCAATTGCCAACATAGTTTTTAATTATCTCAGAATCAGTAAGTTCAAAACTTCAAACTCTAATTGTAATGTCATACAAATGCTGTCAGTGTATGTACGAGATTTTTTAATTTTTATTCTCGTCAAAAAATGCATGTATGAGAATTTGTTTATGCATGAATGATGAAGAGTCAGCGACGGGCTTTTCATTGCTTAGAAAACATCCTACCCACTGCCAAAATGCTCTAATAGCATAATTACATATATACAAAAATACGTCCAGCAAAATGGTAGATGTGATACCTCCACTAATCCTGAAAGGTTTTCTTCAGCAGCAAGTAACTCTGCATCTTTTTCAGAGACAAGCTTTTGTGCTTTGCTGATTGCCATTTCAGCCTTGGTTTGCAAGTTTGACAAAGCAAGCTAAAGGAAGAAGTAAAATGCACTATAATCAGATCAGTGATCATATTGCCATAAAAGTATGAAACTCACACAGAAAAAATTGCATGCAAAAACAAGCAAAATCGGATGCATCATACATATTTCTATGTTGTGATACTGTGAACAAGGTCATGCCGTATAAAGGAACCTCCAAAATAGTTAATATACCTGTTCTTTCTTAATCTGTTCTTTCAACTGTGACAATTCAATCTCCTTCTGATGCTAAGTAAAGAAATATAATCGAAATTATAATCAAATTCAAGTAGAAAGCTCAATGTGTAAGCAGAACTTTACGAGAATAGTACCAGCATAAACTTGAGATGACTAACATCGAGTTCATAGTCTCTTTCATTTGTCTGTAAACCAAAAACACAATAGTAAACGCAATACTGTTGTCAAAGTTGATGTTGCAAGTAGCATAGTTTTGAGTTAAGTAATTACCTTAACATCCAAATCCTTGTCATATAGAGAACTTAGCCCTTCAGCTGGTGTACCATCATCCCTACTTTATAAACATAAAAAAGTTCTTTATAAGAATACAGTAAAACATTGATGCACTGCAGAAGTTGACAACTATGTCTACATTATTCAGTCATGCATTAAATTTGAGTTCCAGTTTCGTAAGGTAACCTAACAATTTGGATGTCACTCTTTGGGATATTAGAACAAAATGAGGTTGAATAGTAACAACAGTCAGAAAGGAAGGAACAATAATAATTAGAGAAGAAAACACGGAACTTTGAACAGATGTACCAGTTACCAACCTAAGAGAGGGATCAACTGCCATAGTAGATGTTGATGTCCTTTGATTCAATGCCATAGTTGCATCCCTTCCATCAAGCACATTTTTAGAGTGCCCCGAAGTAGGAGTTCTTAATTGAACCTCTTCAGTGTTTCCAAATCCACCTTTGATTTCTTCAGCATTATTTTCAGTTACTATGCCATAGACATTATCTGTATCAAGAAACTCCAAGCAATTATTAAATTTGAAAGAAATGAAGAAATAAAGGAGAAAGAAAAATGAAGGGGAAGCATGTGTGTAGTAACAAATAGCATGAAAGGTAAGCACATTTAGTAACAAACAGCATAAAAGATAAGCATACATCAGAATGATTTAGTGCTCAAAAACATCAACAGTGACAACAAACAAGAAAAGAATCACCATTGATAGTGCACGTAAACTAAAAATAAATTACGTGAGTTGCTAAACATAATTATATTGTGAACAATTTTGAAGGAAAGGCATCTTAAGGCAACTTACCTTCAACTGCATCCAAGTCTCCATTCTGCATAAAGTTTGCCACTTTTTCCTCTAACGATAAATTGGGCGGAGATTCTAAAGGCGGGTAATGGTAATCAGAGTTGTGACTTGATTCAAGATTTGAACTAGAATGGTCTTCCAAACCGGAAACTACGGCTGAAGAGGAATCTTCATCAGTCATACTGTTAACCTTCCCATCCTGACATATATCTAAGACCTTTTCATCCAATGACAAACCATCAGCAGGTTCTACAGGCATGCGAGGACATCCATCAGAGTTCAGATCCAATCCAACATTTGAACTACAAGTATTGGTTTCTTTGATGTGAACAGTGGTTGGCAGGGATACATCATCAGGTTCACCCAAGGATGAAGGGGTGGAAATTTCTGAAGGCATATTACTATCAATGTCAGAGTTGAAGGGTGGACCAATTTTAGAACTCCTTGATTGGTTTTCCATTACAGAAAATTTGGTTGGCACAGAACCACTTCCATTCACATTATCCACCTTCTCACTATGACCTTCTAAATTATACAAATCAGCTGAAGATTCCACAGTTAAACAACCACTGTCATCACGGCTCGGATCAGGATGAGAAATCAAACTACCAGAATTAGTTTCCAAGACTGAAACTTCACTTGACGAAGAGAAATCCTCAACCGAATCATTCAACTGTGGATCCTGACCTTTTAAATTGTTAAGAGGGTATCAGTAACAGTTGTATATACTATAAAATAAGGTTGCCAACGTAAGAATTATACGTTGACCTGTTACTATCTTCTTACGATCATCAATTGCAACCTGAATTCCAGCAAACCCATTATCGGCCTTACCAATTGCATCTTTTTTGCTTGAGTCCGCAAGAAGCTCTCTTAAAAGTTTATATCCTCTCCGTCTGACAATGTTTGCAAGGTCATCCCTGGTTCATTATTTTCGGTATGACAAAAAGCATCAGACTTGATCCAATTTCTGGAGTCTTCGAGTCAATATATATATATATATATATATATATATATATATATCAATACATGTATATGTAATATGAAAACTATACTACCCGATACAGCGAATGTCAAAATTTGTTGAAGAAAACAAAAGTGGCAACAAGCAATCAGCAATCGATGACCGGAACGTTATCAAAACTTCTCAGAAATCAAAAAGGCAATTATAATTCCAACCAAACCCTTCAATTCACAGATAAACCCTAACTAAGCAGCTTGAATCAAATTATGGTGAGGAAAACAAAACAAAATTTATCAGAATAGTGACCGAAGAAGTTTATACCTTCCGTGCTGCGATAGCTCCTTCAACGACGGAATGTGACATTCTGGAAGTCCGACGGCAGTGAGGAACTGCCGGAGTTCATTGCAGGAGCTCGGCATTGCTCTTGACCTTCCTACTGAAATTTCCAAAACGCGAGTGAGAAGAAGTGGATAAATGAAAGAGAAAAGTGGAGGCGGGAAATGCGGACCTGGTTTTCTTCTTGACGGAAGAAGCTTGAAGCGTGAAGTACCGCGGCTCTGGGCGGCGTTGCTGGGCGGTGAATCTGAGAGTGGATTGGTGTTGGGGGTCGACGAGGAAGAGATTCCTCTGAGAGAAGAGGGAGAGGAAGGCGGGGAGGTGGGAGACGGTGGCCGCCATGGCTTTCTCTCAGTCATCACTCATTAGCTACTCAGTGATGAAGAAGTTGTCAGCAAGCGGGGATTTTTCCAGTAACCATTACACTATGTTTGGATGCGGGAAATAACATGAAATTTTGATAAAAGTTAGAATTTATAAATTGACAAACATCAATTCTCTTGTTTGGATTCATAAACATAGAAATTTAGAATTTCCGCGTGGAAAAAAAATCGGAATTTGGGACCTCCAAATCCTAAGTTCAAATTCCATGTAAATAGGTGTCATTTCTCAATTTCTATGATTGAGAGTTTAAAAATAACAAATTTCGTATTCAATTTCATTGTTATTGTAAGTTAACCAAACAAGAAAATTTATAAATTCTAGAAAATAAAATTTCGTCATTTCAATTTCCGTCATTTTAAAATTCCTTAGTAATCTTAAATTTTTTTACCCAAACATAGTGTAAGATTTCAGCGAATGGTTTTTTCTTTTTAGTTTTTATTTATTTTATTTCTGGAGATTTTGGAGGACAGTAAAAATTTTATTTTACGGTAAAATAAAGAAAAGTTTATATTACTTTTCATTTTAACGAAAAATTATATTTTTATATTAAAAAATTAATTATTTACAATAAATTTATCTTTTATTTTATCGTTATAGTTAAAACTCAAAATTTTCAAACATTTTTCATTAATTTTTCTTAAAATGAAAAAGCAGTAAATTTCGGCCCGCGCCAGAGTCCAACGAAATGTCGCAAGGCCCAAATAACCCGATTAACTTTAGAAGCCCAGTAATAATATGCTTAGTGGCATGACAAAACCCAATTTCAACTTGGCACGTGTTTTAATTATCACAAATTATGAAATTAAAAACTAACTAGTTAATAAAAATAAACAACTAAAAACAATAATAATCATAATAAAATGAACAATTCAACCCACAGTCATTAGTATGCTATTGATAGGATTAAAAGCACACCACAAAGTAGCACACAAATGTCCTATTAATTTTCCTTATTAACAATAAGATTTATCAATTGTAGCATATGAAAATAAGGGTCTTTCCCACAAAAGATTGTTTTATCTAACTACTTAGAATGTCACAAAAACTGGGCTGTTGTCCCTACTGACTAGCCACCGAAAAATAATTATTAGACCGACTTACACTTATCTAAAGTCTACGAAAGTTTATATGCATATGCTAGACACACAGAGCTATACTCATAAAAAATTTTGGGATTTTTGGAGTTGATTTGATATTTAAATTAAATCGAACAAAAACAAGACAGAGACAAATTTTTAAGTAGTTCACAAATTAAGAAAAACGAGTTAGGGGAATTACTATCCACCACCAAATAATCATGCAAACATGTTATGTTTCATTCAAATTCCTTTCATTTTTGGATGAAGATACTCAAGTTGGCTCAATGTTTGAACTCAACCTATTACTCTTTCTTATGTAATATGTTAAGAGAATGGCGTTTTCAACTTAACTTAGTCCCTAACATGCAATCTCGAATGGTGTGTTCATAGATTTAACAAGTAGAAATCATCAAGAACGAAAAGAGTTTGAGTCATCACAAGGCATCGTAAGTACTAGCGTTGTCTTACTAATCCTAGAAATTGGTTCACATGTTAATCACAATTAACAAGTACTACTCTAGAACATATGTAGGTCCTCGTTCGACAAGGGCAGGCACACACATATTCATAGCATTAGAATCCTAAATATGCTTACTAATTATGCATCCGTAGAAAACATATAAAAAATTCATCAAAGAGACAAGTAGTGAACCAATTTTCATCTATTCATAAAAGTAATTCAAACGAAATGTCATAACAAACTTGCAATCATATTCGGGGCTTCAAAACAGCCCCTAACTACTAAAAATTAGTCACACATAATTCTCAAATTAAACCAAAAGAATGACATGAGTTTGAGAAGATAAAACCGAAAGAAGAGAATGCCAAGATTTCCTCCTTCCTTTCCTTCCTTCCCCAACATAGCAGCCTTGCTTTTTTTCCTTGCTTTCCTTCTTTTTTTTCTATCTTTTTTTTCACCTTTTTTTTCCCTCTTTGCTGCTGCAACCTGTAGCCCTTTTCTTCTTTTCTGCTACCACAATTTTTTCTCCATAACTCACCCCACTAACAGCCATTTAGTGATGACAATAAGTGAGAGGAAATACTAAAACAATTGTAACTCTTTGGGCAGCCTTTATGCCCATTACTCTCACTTAATTTTCTATTTTCTCTGATATTTGAATAGGTGTTAGCTGGCTTGTTCTTGGCTGCATCAGTTTTGGCTGTTAGTTTTATGGGATTTATTGCTTTCAATGTTTTTTTGTCAGTTACAAACTGCTCAGCCTCTTGGGAACCTTTCAGTGTTAAAACGGCCATAACGTTTTCTAGAAAAATGATATTAACAATCCGCGAAATGCTCCAGAAAATAGACATCCGTAGCTTTCCAAGCATATAAGGGTCATTCTCTAATTCATTCTGAGCTGTCCGCAACTTGCTTCCAAAGTCAGCTGATGTGCACAGGCAGTTTTGACGAATTTGTTACTTAAAATTCCACTTGTGCTATTTTTCTTTTCTTTACTTGACAAATCCTACAAAACACAAAAACAAAGTAAATAGCTCAAAAATATAAGGAACTAACTAAGAAAAGACAAGTGAATTTGATGTAAAATATATATAGATATGAGCTTATCAAATACCCCCACACTTAGCTCTTGCTAGTCCTTGAGCAAAACAATGAAAACATGAAAAAATAGCAACATGAAAAACATTAGCTTCCCCCTATGTGACCCTCATAGAATTTCGTTCAAGAAAACAAATCATCAAGAACCTTAGCTAGCATCAAACAAGCTAATCCAAGCTCATCTTCGTTATTCAAATGTTAACAACTACCTTTTAATCATCCTTGAAGTGTAGTGTGTGTAATAGCCATGCTAATGCAATTTCAAGTTTTGTTTTAAAACACCACATTCAAACTAGTGACCTTCTCATGGGACATACACTCAATCACACATATGTTTAGTTTAACGTGTTTCGCTTAAAGAATCAAATGTGAAAGATCTACCATAAGCTTGCATAAAGATCTCATCTCCACAATCATAATTGCAAAACTAAAATAAAGAGGACTCTTATTGGTTGTAATGAGGCTTAGGGAGAGGGTTATAGAAATGAAAGGATAGGTAAACACAAGTTCCAAGCTACATTGTAAGCAATTCTCTTGTTGAGATTTATAAGAACTCAAGCTCTCCAACCACTCTACTAATACCTCCAATCACACCCCTAAACTTTTTATTTTCTTTGTATACAATTTTTCTTTTTTTCTTCTTCTTCTTCAATTTTTTTTTTTTAAAACCAATTTTTGCACATAACTAAATACAAACATGAAAGACCCCCACACTTATTCTTTTGCCAAACTCCTTCAAAGTACTTCACAAACATTTCTCATAAGACAATCTCACATTGCTCACTAGCTAGCTTGGAAAGGGTAAGGAAAAATGTTTAAGGTATAAGGGCAGACATATCTGGTGATAAGAAATAAAAGGCTTAACATATACGGCTCAAATTGGCAATCTAATGATATCATTTTTCTTTAGGAAACATGCTTATTTGGGCTATGGTGATAAACATAATGCTTCTATCCTTTTCAAGTTCATGCAATCAATGACAAACATTTCGAAAGATCGTTACGCAAGTTCTAGAGATGTAAGTCACATAAGTTCATCACACATGAAAGAATAGGAGTGTATGAAAAATGCACACACTTTCAATAGGCTCAAAAACTCACATAGGTTGTATATGGTCACTATGTTCACATATGAAGCTTTAAATCATGCTTTAGTTTCACATCAACAAGGCTATGTGCTTTTGGTTTTTCAAAGATGATTAAACATGTACAAAACTAACAAGAGAATAAGGAATTTCACACAATACATGCTTACTAAGTTCTTGATCACCGTGGTTCAAATTCAATCCTGTTATATCATTGGGTCAGGAAACTAACAAAAATCTAATTCAAAACAATAAAGAAAATAACACTATTTTTGAATTTTTCATTTTTAGAATTTTCTCTCTTTTTTTTTTTAGTTTTTTTTTATTTTTTATTTTTTTAGAGTCAACAAAACTAATTAAGAAAACAAAAAAAAAACAACAACAAGGAAACAAATGAAACCAATTCTTTGTCAAAGGGACGAAAATTTTCAATTTGGTCATTTTTTCAATCCTTACCCCCAAACTTAAACTGGACATTGTCCCCAATGTCATAAAACACAATAATGCATAAAATAAAAATAAAATAAAATAGTAAGAAACAAAATAAAGCATTTGGACTGAAAACTTCCCCAATTTGCAATAAAATCAAGTGATGACCCCCAAACTTCAATTCTGCAATCAACTCCAAGGGTGGACATAACCAAAGATTCCTACAAAGAAAATAAATAATTCAGCTTAGCACGCAAGAAAACTCAGAAAAAAACAAACGAAAAATTGAAAATGACATAAAAAGACAATGAATAGAAATATTGGGTTGCCTCCTAATAAGCGCTTGTTTTTACGTCCGCAGCCGGACAGTACCAAGAGTAATCATTCAAGGGAAGCTGGTTCTTGGAGGGGTACAACCTCCACATCATGCTCCGCAAAAGACTCGTAATATGGTTTGAGTCTATGTCCATTCACTTTGAACACATTTCTGGTCTTTGCACTTTGAATTTCCACTGCATCATGAGGAAAAATATTAGTTATAACAAACGGACCAATCCATCTAGAACGGAGCTTACCTGGAAATAACCGAAGGTGAGAATTAAATAGAAGAACTTCTTGTCCAATGGCAAAGCTCTTCCTTAATATCATCTTGTCATAAAATGCCTTTGATTTCTCCTTGTATATTCGACTAGACTCGTATGCATCATTCCGGATTTCATCTAACTCATTCAATTGAAGCTTCCTCTACTATCCGACAACACTCATGTCCATGTTGTAGGCTTTGATCGCCCAATAAGCTTTGTGTTCTAATTCTACTGGAAGACTGCATGGTTTCCCATAAACTAATCGAAATGGGGACATTCCAATAGGAGTCTTATAAGCAGTCCTATAAGCCCACAATGCATAGCTTAAGCGCATGCTCCAATCCTTCCTACTAGGACTCACAGTTTTCTCCAGAATTTTTTGACCTCACAGTTTGATACTTCTGCTTGACCACTAGTTTGCGAATGATAAGGTGTAGACGCCTTATGTGTGACATTGTACTTCCTAAGCAACGCTTCAAATGTTCTATTGCAAAAGTGACTCCCTCCATCTCTAATGATTGCTCTAGGTGTCCCAAATCTTGCAAAGATATTAGTCTTAATAAAATCTGAAACAACTTTTGAATCATTAGTTTTGGTGGCTTTCGCTTCCACCCATTTAGAAACATAATCCACAGCCAATAAAATGTAAAGAAAACCATTTGAAGATGGAAAAGATCCCATGAAATCAATGCCCCACACATCAAAGATCTCAACAATCAAAATAGAAGTTTGTGGCATTTGATTTCTTGGGCCCAAGTTACCTGTTCGTTGACAACGATCACATGTTGCATAAAACTCGTACGCATCCTTAAACAAACTAGGCCAATAAAAACCACTTTCTAACACCTTAAGGGTTGTCCTCTTTGCTCCAAAAGGGCCGCCACATGCATAAGAATGACAAAAAGTTAGAATAGATTTAAACTTAGATTCAGGGACACACCTTCTAATCAATTGATCAGGGCAATATTTCCACAAATAAGGATTATCCCACTCGTAGTATTTGGCGGTTTTGACAAGCTTATCTTTCTGAGCACGTGTAAAATCATCCGAAATCTTTTTGGTGACCTTGTAATTGATAATATTTGCATACCAAGGGTCAGTAACCTTTAATGAAAACAATTGCTCATCCGGAAAACTTTCACGTAAAGGGATGAAATGTTCCTCTGTGTTTGAGTGCATAAGTCTGGTAAGATGATCTGCTACAACATTCTCACTCCCTTTCTTATCCTTGATCTCCAAGTCAAACTCTTGAAGCAGAAGTATCCATCGAATGAATTACAGTTTTGCATCTTTTTTTGTGAGTAAATACTTCAAAGCTGCATGGTCAGAAAACACAATAACTTTAGTTCCAATCAGATAAGATTTAAATTTTTCTAAAGCAAATACAACAGCTAGAAGCTCATTCTTTGTTGTTGAATAATTCAACTGTGCATCATTGAGTGTTCGTGATGCATAATAGATGACATGTGGCACTTTGTTGACACTTTGTCCTAGAACTACACCGACAGCATAATCTGAAGCATCACACATTAACTCGAAAGGTAAACTCCAATCTGGTGGCATGATCACAAGAGCCATGGATAACAACTCTTAAGTTTGTTGAATGCTACCACACACTCTTCATTCATATCAAATGTTGCATCCTTTTGAAGAAAATGGCACAGGTCTAGAAATCATTGAAAAGTCCTTCATAAACCTACGGTAGAAACCTGCATGTCCAAGAAAAGAACGAATCTCCCTGACAGTAGTAGGGAGGGATAAAGAACTAACAAGTTCTACTTTAGATTTATCAACTTCAATTCCATTTTCAGATATGATATGCCCTAGAACTAATCCATGCGAAACCATGAAATGACATTTTTCCAATTTAAGACCAGATTAGTTTCTTGACAACGTTTTAAAACTAGGGACAGATTATGTAGACATGTATCAAAAGAATCACCATAAACTGAAAAATCATCCATGAACACTTCAATTATTTTTTTCAATCATATCAAAAAAGATACTTACCATACACCTTTGAAATGTGGCAGGGGCGTTGCAAAGTCCAAACGGCATCCTCCGGTATGCAAATGTGCCAAATGGACATGTGAAAGCCGTCTTTTCTTGATCCTCCGGAGCAACTGCAATTTGATTATATCCAGAATAGCCATCAAGAAATCAATAATGAGAATGACCAGCTAACCTTTCTAACATTTGATCAATGAATAAAACTGGAAAGTGATCCTTGCGTGTGGTGCTGTTTATCTTCCAATAGTCTGTACAGACTCTCTAACTATTTTGCACATATGTAGGCACTAGCTCACTAGCTTCATTCTTAACAACTGTGACTCCGGATCGCTTTGGAACTACTTAAGCAGGGCTCACCCACTTGCTGTCCGAGATAGGATATATGATGCCAACATCAAGAAACTTGATAACCTCTTTCTTGACGACCTCTATCATGAGTGGGTTCAAACGGCGTTGAGCTTCCCTTGTAGGTTTTGCACCTTCCTCAAGCAGAATCCTATGCATACATGTAGTTGGATTTATACCTTTGATATCTACAATGCTCCAAGCTATGGCAGTTTTGTGATCCTTCAGTACCCAGATCAGTTTCTCCCCTTCTTCTGCTATGAGTTGTGATGATATGATGACCGGTAATGTTTCATCCTCTCCCAAAAATGCATACTTCAAATGTTCAGGAATCGGTTTAAGCTTCAATTTGGGTGCCTGAATCGCAGAAGGAAGAATTTTTTCGTTAGAAGTAAGAAGAGAAATAAAATAGGAAGAAGACTTACCACGAATTGGTGAAAAAGACTCAAGGGCTGCCACTGTTTGGATTAATTCTTCTTCAATGTGCTCAGAATAATTAAGTTTTCCATGTGTAATGCTATGCACTAATGCCTTTTCTAAATTATCTTGTCCCACACCTTCATTAAAACAATCCTACACAAAATAGTCAAACGCATCAATAGACAAACAAGATTCAAAATCACTAGGGTACCTCATAGCATTGAAGATTTTGAACTTGACTCTTTCTCCATCAATTTCCATGGTTAAAGTAACATCGTAGACATCAATCTTCGTACGCGCCGTTCTAAGGAATGGTCTTCCCAATATAAAAGGAAGTGCAGTAGGCATAGGGTCATGTTCCATCTCAAGAACAAAAAAATCAGCGGGAAAAATAAGCTCATTCACTTGCACAAGTACATCCTCCAATAGGCCTTTGGGATATCTATTTGAACGATCTGCCAACTGGATTACTACCTTTGTTTCCTTCAAGTCTCCAAGGTTTAGTGATTCATACACCGAATATGGCATCAGATTGATGGATGCCTCCAAATCACACAATGCTTTCCCAAACTCTTTCCCTCCAATTACACATGGAATGGTAAAGCTACCGACATCCTTCAACTTCAATGGTAGCTTTCTCTGCAAAACAGCTAATAGTTCCTCGCTTAATGCCACAGTTTCTTGATCATTGAATCTTCTCTTGTTCGTACAAAGCTCTTTAAGGAACTTTGCATACTTGGGCACTTGTGTTATGGCATCTAAAAGAGGTAAGTTCACTTGGACTTTTCGGAAAGTATCCAAGATTTCTTTATCAGTTTGCTCTTTCTTAGACTTCATAAACCTACGAGGAAAAGGAATAGGGACACATGAGTAAATGAATTTTGAACTTCTTTTCTTACCTTATCAGAATCTTTTTTGTTCAATTCTGTATCTTTAGGAGACTTTTCAGTTTCTGTTGAAGCCTCATCTTGCTCAAGATTTTTGGTTTGTTGCTCCCCTTGCTCATTTGTATCTTTTCTAGTCCTCTTTTGCATCCTTGGCTGCTCAAAAACTTCTTTTCCACTCCTTAAAGTCACAACATTCATCTGCTCCGCATTTGGATTCACCATGGTTTGGCTAGGCAACCTTCCTGGTTGGTGTTGTTGCCCCATCAAACTTGCTAACTGACTCATTTGGCGCTCAAGGTTTTCAATTGCTTTGTCTATTTTCTGTTAATGAGATTGAGTAGAGTTAGCTAAAGAAGCAATTAAATCCTCAAGAGACTTACTTGGAGCTTGTTGTTGTTGAGGCTGAAATAGTGTCTGCGATCTTGCTTGAAAGAAGCCAGGTGGACGGTTATAGTTGTTGGGAACAGATTGTTGTCCATTGTCTTGATTGTTCCACTTTAAGTGTGGATGATCGCGCCACCCTGCGTTATAGTTGTTGGAGTATGGATCATACTTTTGTCTTTGTTGCCCTTGAAACCCTCCTAACGCATTAGCTTGCTCAAGACCACCTTGATCCATTAACGAAGGGCACATATCCGTGGCATGTCCCATCATTGAACAAACACCGCACACCTGTTTTGGAGCCACCATAACCTGTTGCACAAGATTAGTCCAGTTAGCTAATTGTAATTCAATACTAGAGTTAGCACTTACCTCGTTAACTTTCTTAAGAGGTAGCTCATCTCTCCCTCCAAATTGTCGTGTATTGCCAGCAATGTTCTTTAATAATGCCTTAGCATTTGTTGGTGTCTTGTCCATGAATGCTCCTCCACTTGCTGCATCAAACATTACACGATCAGTACCACACAATCCTTCATAAAAATCTTGTATTAAAAGATGCTTTAAAATTTGATGATTAGGACAAGATGCAACCAAATGTGTGAATCGCTCATAGTAATCTCCAAAGGGCTCTCCATGTTGTTGTCGGATTGCACATATGTCTTTCCTTATGCTTATAGCTTTTGTGGCCGGAAAATATTGCTCCAAGAATGCTTGCTTCACCTGGTTCCATGTGTTCATTGATCCTGGAGGTAAATTGTAAATCCACTCCTTTGCCTTAGCTTCTAATGTAAATGGGAATGCCCTCAACTTGACTTGCTCCTCATCCATATTGGCTAGTCTCATTCCCGAGCATACCACATGAAACTCCATGAGATGCTTGTTGGCAACCTCTGTTGAGAAGCCATGGAACTTAGGCAAGTAGTGAATCATGCCAGGACTTAAGCTCAAATCCTCCTTCTGCATTTGGATATGTGATGCACAATGGTTGTTGATCTGTATTTGGCGTTGCTAACTCCCTCAGAGTACGGTTATCAGCCATGCCTTCTTGTGGTTCTTCCTCCTCTTCCGAACTCAAATGTGGTGGAGAAGATGGTGGTAAAGACATTGATGCACGCCTCTGCTTGATTGTTCCTCGAAGCTTTCGAAGTGTTTGTTCAACCTCAGGATCGTAGGAAGCTAGATCAATGCTCTTGGACCTTTGAGTATGCATATACTACGAAGAGTACCTGAAACAAAAACAAAAACACTAATTAGAAAAGAAAAGAAAACAATAAAAAATAAGTAATTAGAAATAACAATCCCCGGCGACACGGTGCCAAAAATTTGATAGGATTAAAAGCATACCACAAAGTAGCACACAAATGTCCTATTAATTTTCCTTATTAACGATAAGATTTATCAATTGTAGCATATGAAAATAAGGGTCTTTCCCGCAGAAGATTGTTTTATCTAACTACTTAGAATGTCACAAAAACTGGGCTGTTGTCCCTACTGACCAGCCACCGAAAAATAATTATTAGACCAATTTACACTTATCTAAAGTCTACGAAATTTTATATGCATATACTAGACACATAGAGCTATACTCACACAAATTTTTGGGATTTTTGGAGTTGATTTGATATTTAAATTAAATCAAACAAAAACAAGACAGAGACAGATTTTTAAGTAGTTCACAAATTAAGAAAAACGAGTTAGGGGAATTGCTATCCACCACCAAATAATCATGCAAACATGTTATGTTTCATTCAAATTCCTTTCATTTTTGGATGAAGATGCTCAAGTTGGCTCAATGTTTGAACTCAACCTATTACTCTTTCTTATGTAGTATGTTAAGAGAATGGCGTTTTCAACTTAACTTAGTCCCTAACATGCAATCTCGAATGGTGTGTTCATAGATTTAACAAGTAGAAATCATCAAGAACGAAAAGAGTTTGAGTCATCACAAGGCATCGTAAGTACTAGCGTTGTCTTACTAATCCTAGAAATTGGTTCAAATGTTAATCACAATTAACAAGTACTACTCTAGAACATATGTAGGTCCTCATTCGACAAGGGCAGGCACACACATATTCATAGTATTAGAATCCTAAATATGCTTACTAAGTATGCATCCATAGAAAACACATAAAAAATTCATCAATGAGACAAGTAGTGAATCAATTTTCATCCATTCATAAAAGTAATTCAAACGAAATGTCATAACAAACTTGCAATCATATTCGGGGCTTCAAAACAGCCCCTAACTACTAAAAATTAGTTACACATAATTCTCAAATTAAACCAAAAGAAAGACATGAGTTTGAGAAGATAAAACCGAAAGAAGAGAATGCCAAGATTTCCTCCTTCATTTCCTTCCTTCCCCAACGCAGCAGCCTTGCCTTTTTTCCTTGCTTTCCTTCTTTTTTTTTCTATCTTTTTTTCACCTTTTTTTTCCCTCTTTGCTGCTACAACCTGTAGCCCTTTTCTTCTTTTCTGTTGCCATAGTTTTTTCTCCATAACTCACCCCACTAACAGCCATTTAGTGATGACAATAAGTGAGAGGAAATACTAAAACAATTGTAACTCTTTGGGCAGCCTTAATGCCCATTACTCTCACTTAATTTTCCATTTCCTCTGATATTTGAATAGGTGTTAGCTGGCTTGTTCTTGGCTGCATCAGTTTTTGGCTGTTAGTTTTATGGGATTTATTGCTTTTAATGCTTTCTTGTCAGTTACGAACTGCTCAGCCTCTTGGGAACCTTTCAGTGTTAAAACGGCTATAACTTTTTCTAGAAAAGTGATATTAACAATCCGTGAAATGCTCCAGAAAATAGACATCCGTAGCTTTCCAAGAATATAAGGCTAATTCTCTAATTCATTCTGAGCTGTCCGCAACTTGCTTCCAAAGTCAGCTGACGTGCACAGGCAGTTTTGACGAATTTGTTACTTAAAATTCCACTTGTGCTATTTTTCTTTTCTTTACTTGACAAATCCTACAAAACACAAAAACAAAGTAAATAGCTCAAAAATATAAGGAACTAACTAAGAAAAGACAAGTGAATTTGATGTAAAATATATATAGATATGAGCTTATCAGCTATTCGGACCACTTCTTTCGTGAGCAACTATCACTGTTCCAATTTCAAAGGGTAAATTACATTTTAATTGTAACCTTGTATGATATCTTTAGAATATTTCAATTTTATATGTTTACTTATTATTTCATTTAAATTCTTACATCCGTTAAAATTTTTGTTAGGTTATTTGTTAATTGACGACGTGGTAGTTAAATTTGTCCACATTGATTAAAAAAAATTATAAAAAAAATCAATTAAAAATAAGAAAATAAGCTTTTATGCCAAGTGAGCCCACCCTTCAATCTGCATCTGCATCTCTCTCTAACTCCTTAGAGCCCCACCCTTCAATCTTCATCTTCTTCCCCAACAACCCAATCCTACACGACACGACCCATCAACCACCACCAATTCTTGAATCCACCCTTTAAGCTTTTTTCTTTCTTTAAAAAGCATTAATATTAACTAATTAAAAGCATTAAAAACTACTTAGTACTACAGTCTAGTAGTATTCCTCATCACTTGTAAGTGAGAGGTCTTATGTTCGATGTGAGACATTAGATTGGACATATTTCTTTAATAAGTAATTCATCTTCAAGTTGAATACAATTTTTACATTTCTTCCTCCGACATGCCTTGACTTTAGTGTGTTATCTATTGCAATTTAATCTCATAAAACACATGAGGCCATAAAAATACTATACCATCAAATAGTGGATACAAACATGTGGGCAATTGCTAGAGAGTGTGAGTAATAGCGGATACCATCATTAGATGATATGTTGCCGAAGGGAAAGTCAACATTCTCATGGTTGCATCAGCAGATACACTGACTAAGCCAATGTCACAAGTCTAGCTTGATCATCACATGGAAAAGATTGGTGTTCAATACATGGGTAGATGGCTTTGAGTGCAAGTGGGAGATTATTAGAAGTATGCCCTTAAAGAAGTGTCTGAGTAATAGCTTTTGGAACACTTACTTTTGTCAAGTGGGAGATTTGTAGAAGTGATCTAAGTGGTCTAAATTTGGTACTTATCAAGTGGAAGATTCTCAAGCTTGACTGTCACATGTAATGACTTTTGGAATACTTATTTTGTTAAACTCTTTTTATTTTAATGGAAGAGAAATGTTTATTGTTAATCACTATTTGTGTGCTATGTGTTTAATCAACTACAGGATCCAAGGAATGTAATCAATCTATGGAAAAAGTGATCTAGGAAAGTTAGATCAATGAGGTCTTTCTCTTGTGTTCATTCCTAAAAGGTTCATAGCCATAAGATTGTCAATTAAGCATTGACAATCCGTTAAGCCTTCTATGTGTTATGTCAACTCAATTGAGAGTATGATTAGTCTCAAGTCGTTAATGTTAGACACTATGACAAACACATAGGTGCTTCAAAGGATGTTGAGTATACAGAACATCGATCAACAAAGAGTTCTAACTTAAATGTCATTTAAGAACCAATTAGTTGCAATAATGAAAATTAGTTCTTTGACCTGAGAGACCACATATGCCTTATGTGTACGTCTTTGAGCATTTGAAAATGTAACCTCGTGGGGAACCAAGATTCCCGGGCCTTGTACACACCGCCTGACACACTATGAGAGTACACTCCTCATCTTGGGTATGTTCCTAGCATTGTTAGGTCATTGATTTATTCATAGAGACATGTGAGTGTACAACAAGGTATCTCTAACCTTCCATAGTGGAAGGAGAATACTCTAAGATATGGTTCCGAGAGTCTTTGGCCAAAGCACATAATACGAGGAAGAATGTTCCAAATCATATTCACTAGAATCATATTGAGAAGAATCACAATGGATAGTAAACATGAAATTAACTATCAATGAAACAATGTGGTCAAGAGTATTGAATTATAGAAATATGATCTTATTGCACTATAGTTGTAATTGAATAGGTTGTCTTACTACTACTTAGCTTAGGCAGCCATGACATATTGCAATCCTTGGTGTGGAAAAATGACAGTACTTGAAGGCCCTTCACTTGGGTGACTTCCTTGTGAACACAAGGATGAGCTTCAAAGGTATGAAAGCTCAAACTTTCCTCTTTCCATTTTGCGAAGAGTCTTAGTTAATCATCCATTAGGCCTTGAATTTCATGGATTTGCTTTAAGCCCATATATGCAAGTGTTGCTCAAATAATCTCTACATAAGCAAGATTAGGGGAATGCACATATTATTTCAAGTATGGTAGTTACATTCCATTGAGTTGTGATTTCAAAGTGATTACTAAAAGTTGAATCAAATAAAAATTATGGTGCTCATGGTTTTGATATGTTGCCATTGTATATGTATGACGACTTCTTATAGAATTTCAGCATCTCTTACAAATGATAGCAATTATATCCCTCAATAATGCTTTTCAAGTTATCAGATCTTACAAAATTGAAAAGATGTTATTGAAGCCCTTCGAGAAAAATCAACAATCACAAGGTTTATGATTCCAAGTCATTCGAGACTTATCGAGAGGTAGCATAGGAATCTAGGTTTTTTTTTTCGGTAAATAATGTGGTCTCATTTATGATATTTGGTATGAATTTAGAGCACCCATGAAGACTCGTGTGGATGATGAGTTTGAAGATGGGTACCACTGTATGCTAATCACATTGGATAGGGCAAAACTGCTAATGGTATGGCTTATTGGATAGTGTGCAACTCTTAGCGTAATTGATGACAAAATCAGGAGGATGCACCTATTATTGCAGGTATAATAGGTACATTCCATTGAATTGTGGTATGTGATTATTGAAAGGTGAATCAAATACAAATTATGGGATTCATGGTGTTATGTGTAGCGACTTTTAATAGGGTTTCAACATCTCTTACAAATGATAACAACAATATCCCTCAATCATGTCTTTCAAGGTATTATATGCTTCAATATT